TAAGAAAAGAATAGATGAAGAAACTGTTAAGAAAACAACCCATTTGTACGACAAAAGATCCGACAATACCTTACAAAATGACCATACGACACAACACCGATCAAATGGAGTGAGAACAAACATGGACGATCGAAAGTCCTTGCACATGTTGGTAGAAAACAAAAGGATTCAGCGCAGCAAACACAGATCCCGGTATTCCGGGTTCGTGTATCGTGATGGTTGTCGAAAGACACTAAGTGACGATTAAATGTGCGCCAGATCTTCAAGAACCAGGGCTGTGGATGAGATTTATGTCTGAGAGTGAAGCTCACTGCGGGATTTCAGTCCAACAACTTTTCAGGCTCTTGTACAGTCATCATTCTCTTTACGGTATTTGTGGTAAGAGCAAAACTACTTATTTTTCGGTACATTAAAGTAATATCGCTGCAAAACATTAGGAAACTTCCAAGCGCATGGGGCGATATATGAGTGGTTCTGCGCCCCCTGTTTAACGCCGACGGTTTCATGGTATGTATGATCTTATTTAATAGTGACATGCTGCATTTCGTTCAAACGATTTAGAGGTCATCTTAGAGAAGAAAAGTAGCAAGGGAGGAGGTCGGAAAGGACATTCAGTACACTGATGCGATCTTTTACGAAGACGCTAAAATGTAATAAGCGTAAATATTAATTTGTTGAACTTGCTCCAACTTGTAAATAGACATACTTCTCCATTTGGCTTTATTAATTTTCAAGAGTTTCACTAATGCTACAGCTGTTCAAAATGTGTGATTCCTCAGAACAAAGTATTTTCGCTGCCTGAACTTAAATTCACTAGCTTCAAAGATGTAGCAATTACCAAATGGCACATGACTCCTTCAAGACGTAGTGCTTATATCAGTGCTTTGTCCACCGCATGCTTACGCCGAATCGCTTCATGGTGGGGGGGGGCATCTTAGCGTGCCGCAGCCGATGTTTAAGAACCTGCTCTGTCACATTCATGTGACCATTCACATCACGCCCATCACAAACGATTTCTCGGGAGCACGTACTCATTATATACTACCGCATAAACATCATACCGCCATCATGAAATACACCATGAAATTTAGTCTTGGAGGAACCATGGGTTATTTTGCATTGTCCGGAATACGAACAACTTACGATGATCATGACGAAGTGATTATAGTAACGGCATTCAACACTTCTTAAATATTGTCCCCCTATGAACAAAATAGTTTTTTTTTCAAATTCAGAAAGATAAGGAGGAAAATACATTAACCTAGAAATTGAAGCAACGACAAATTAATGCACTTAAGCAAATTCTCCAAGCTTAAGCAGATGCTTTAACGTCCAGTGTCCAGTTCAGCAAATACTTAAACGAAAGTGTCATTTCTATGGTGATCAAAGCATAATGTCGGTTCATAATGAGGAAATTTACGACACCACGTATTTCCTTGACGTATTTAGGCATCATGCTGAGAACAAGCCTTTGCTATAAGGCATTATCCAAAAACAGTACTTTGTCATCCTGTCACAGTTTCGTATTTCACACAACGTGCAAGCTATGCAGCGCCATGTGAATAGCCCATGGGTTACTGACTGAGTACCGAGACGGAACTGGCAACAAGTATACGAGGAATTACATGAAGGCAAGTTCTATTCTCTGAAGAACACAGTGGTTGGAAAGCTGGACGAAAAAGTTTTAGCGCTGTCATCAGTTATGTGAAAGAAAGCCTGGTTAAGAAATTTATAATGCAATATCCCTCCCCAGCTTTCCATGGAGAATGACACTCTGATCATTAAACAGCAGGCAGCCGTAAGTAGGAATCGGCAGTAAGTGGAATCAAGCTTTCAATGCACTAACGAATGGACAACAACGTCGTTGCGACAATAGCTGCACATGGCACTAACCGAGTCTCAAAGGAGGTAACGGTTATTGCAGAGGGCATTGTCGTTTTTGAAAGGTGCCAGATTGATAAACAAGGCGAGGCTCGGTTCTTGTCTGTAATCGCCGCCATCTTCTGGCGAGCTTTTTCCAACAGACGTTTCTGTGGCTCTCGTGGCCCTTGGGAGGTCTCTATCAATTTCACGAACGGACAGCTACACGCGTTCCGGAAGGCGAGTGCATTGGCCACGTCTAGGTGCGGTGCAGACAGCGATCAGATCGTTGTCACTCGAAGACAGACACCGAGTTTCGGCGACTGCCCTGCGACCGCTTCGACCTCTTGCCGCCGCAAAGAACTCAAAACTCAATCCTTCACGCAAGTTAATCGAAACGCGGAACTCATTTACCCTCCGATCGAAGCACAAAAACACCGTAGATGCGAACTTCTTCATTCGGCGATGTTGGCCAGTGATTCCAATCGCCATTTAGAACTTGCCAAGCATCTGGAGTGATAGAGATCGTGCGGGCAGCACGAAAATAATGAGCGGACGAGTCTCTGACAGGTCTCAGGAAATGGTCTGCATTGAACCGCTATTACGAGTTGAGAGTAACACGCGAGTGGAAGAGTAGCGAACATCTAATTAAAAGTACACAAGTACATGTCTGTTTTTCGGCATTTTGCCAATTTGACAGTTGATCTGTCTTCCTGCTGCCGAGCGTCTGGAGTGGCACGAATCAGATGGACAGCAGGACATATTCTGCAGAGATGTGTCTCTGTGTTTGTTGCCATCATAACTTGAATCGTATGCGCAAAGAGGATGGTTTGATGTTGGTTGTACTTAGAGAAATCCAGCATTTTAGCTATAAGGTACCGGATACTACATCGTATAAGGAACAGTTCCTCTCAGAATGCAGAATGGCATATATTTTGATTTTGCTTTGCTGATCAACATTGCATAATAGCCTCCCGGTCAAAGAATGTGACGTTGCGGGTCAGCAAGAGAAATCCAGAACTGGAGTAAAAATTCGTGCTTCACCAGTTTATGCAATAAGGCTAACCTCTGTTTGAAGTCCTCATATGCTGAGGTCACCTTTGTGTGTGGTGCTGCCGTTTAGTCGTCATTATGCGTCGTAGCCAGTCTGAAGACGAGTTTCAGACAGACGTCAGGAAATGAATAGAATCCTACCTCTATGAATTTCGGTTGAGAGTGCAGAAGCATTTTCCAATATGGCAGAATCAAGTTTCTTTTCTTCGTTTTGGCAATAATCCAGTTTATCAGCCTGTCATTTTGTTGTGAAACAATCTGAAATGGGGCAGACAGCTTAGTTTCTAGCTATAACTGTTAAGTAAAGAGAGCAGAGTTGAGTGCGGAGCTGGCAATGAAGCATTTGTAAATTCCATTAAATACAAGCAGCACTCGTCACACATTGATCATGGCACAACGTTTGCAAAGTCCACACTTTCACTCGTTGCTTGGTCCCTTCAATCAGGGACCCTAATATCAGGGTCGCATTTCTTTATAATATTATCTCTGTAGCATAATTGACCCCGTGCTTTACATTCTCGCCACGAGAATCGCACAAGAGCACGACAATTGGCGTAATACTGCACATCGCCCTGTCCACCTTCAGAATGGAAGACGGCATTATACTACAGTTATTAGTACATGGGAGATTGATTTCTTTTTGCTCCTGCTGTTATAAGCTCGGGAGACTACGCGAGACTACACAGTATGGACTGTCTTGTAAACAACGTAGCATCCTTACTTTGAGGATCATGACGGAGGTAAGTATAGCACCACAAGAGAGGATTATGAGGCAATACCCGGCATCCCAATGGCTATGAAATTCCTTCGATTTTATTTTTTTTTAAATTTACGCCTTTTCATTGCCGTTTCCGGAAAGAAAAGCACTTCGTTTTGTACCTACCGACGCAGTTCGTCAAAAAAGAGTATTAAACAATCGAATATCTTCGCATATATAAAATGGCCTTCTCCGGATTCATGAAATTTATAGTTTTTGTTTAGTTTTCAAACGTTCATAATCATATTTGAGCGACAGATTCATGTAACAGACATAAAAAATTCTGTTCGTCCTCAGATACTGTTGCGTATCTCACTGTTGTTGTTGTATTTTCATCGTTATCTAAAGAAAACCGAGTTTAAATAAGAGAATAACCTAGATTTATGATCTCCAAGGGTTAGAAAAAGTGGTATTGCAGACCGATATTAGATATCGTGCTGTGCTGCAGCAAAAGACTTGTTCCTTCTCGCAAACACGTCTGTACCAACGAGGCGTTTCTACGCTTTACTTTTTCGTCCAACGGGTCTGTTCCAGTGAAAGCTACCCAACTGAGAAAAGTTTTGAAATTATTTCCATTCATTTTTTGGGCCGTTATGTCAAACCAAGTAAAGCACCGGTCTCAGAGTTCATCTGATAATTTGCTCAGACCTATTTTCTGTACCGTCAGCACCTGCTCGTTCGAGACTCTGCAGTACTATCGATTTTGGCGCTATTCCGGAGATAGAGTTATTAGAAGTTGTGTTACTACACACTTCATCACCTCTCACGATAACAGGTGTTTCGAGACTATCCACAAGAACAGCGACTACGGCTGCTTTATGAATAGTGATCTTCGTATTTGTTATTAGACTTTAATCCTTCTAAGTGATGTACAGTCTTTCAAGATTCGCCGATACCATTTCAGTAGCTCAATTCAGTTCAAGATAAATATAACCTTTTAGTCAACGCAGTTCCGAAGTTCACCTCATCCATCGTACTACTATCCATCCTATAGTATTTGAGTAGTGTTATACGTCAGGTGCGGGCGACCTCATAATCTTCGTCTTCTTTGTGTGGACTTATAACCTAAGCACTACAGCTGTGTTGCACGCGTATTCAGTAAATGTCAGTAAGCCTCTAGTGGAATCTCTCAGCAACACAACAACATCGCCATTTCAAGCTACGTTAAGAGTACCGCGGCTATCCCAGCTTTATCGCTAACTAGCCGTCAGTGCTTTGTCGTAATTTTGGAAGAGGCACGTTTTAGTCCGTCATGATGCTAAGAAGGGAGCTCCTCACCTGGACGAACTCCACTGGAGACCTTGAACCAACCGGACAAAGTCTGTTTAGCTTAGACGGCGCAATTCGCCAATGAGCGCAGATCTTCAATCAGGTTTGCCATCGCCTGCGAGACTCCATAGTGCCGGATGATGTCCAACCCCCTTGTCAGCTGTCTGTTACCAAGCACAAAGCAATTCGTAAGAGATCTTCGCGATGCTTGCGAGATTCTGTTCCATCATACTGGACTCAGCGTTGCAGTTACGCTAATCTTGGGGCTCTTGGCCATCCGCGATGTACACCAAAGGTTCGATTGACTAGGAGAAGATCAGTACCGGTCGTGTTCTTATCTGAAAGGGTCTAACTTCAGCCAGAACAGAATGTCTTACTAACTCGAAATAAGTGGTGTTTGAAGGGATGGTAGTTTTTTTATTGTTTTCCTACAGGTTTGTTATGCTAACACTGTTTTCGTTCTTTTTCTCTACTGAGGAAAATACCTCTCTTTCAGAGTAAACAGAGAAGACGCTTACACATAATCCAGTTCAGTATATGGTCAGTGTGAGAGATAGCGAAGAAAGCTGATATTTAGCAAATCATCACTTATCGGATTATAACATGCAATCAGCGAATATAACAAACACAGTGCAATAAGTTTTACGAACAGACTTAGAAATAGACTAATACTCTACCTCAGATCATCTGAGAGACCATCTTACGAAGCGGTTTACAATTAGACTGTCTTACTGCCTACCAAGCATGAAGAAACCACAGTTTGGATATAAGGGTGCAGCAGTTATCTTAAAGGAAAACGGTTGTATTCGTCTGTTAATTTCTGTAGTCATTCCGTTTACATATTCCTTTTTTCAGGAATGGTTTACAAGACGCGCTTTTATCACTGTTATTAAAAAACGATCCTTATTCCTGTTTTAGCATAGTTCATTTTAAACTCATAGCTTACCTCACCGTCAGTGGCTATCCATAACCACAAACGAAGTTTCATAAAGAAGACCAAGCACTGATCAAAGGAGCCAATCATACGATAAGACGATGTACAGTATGGCGCATACTTCAGAGCGGTTGAAGGCCTGTTTAAAATGACGAAACAGTTAGTTAACAAGATTCTGACAACAGACATACATGAAACTCTCTACGCATTGAAAGCAGATCTGCTATATGATGGGAGATGGGTGGAATTATGGAGTGGGAAACGTCACTGGCTGCAGACTTGTTTGAAGACAATACAAAACCTGGAAATCCCTCTTTAAGGCAAGCATCCTGTAAACTTGTCTAAGGTCTATCTGATATGTCCCTTCTAACTTTAACTTCAGATATCTAACATTTGTTGAATTCTGCTGTCCAAACTTTCATAGCCTTAGATGACAAAGAAGACAACCAACACCAAATGAAAAACGCAGTACAGAAGGAACGGGGTCACTGTCCTGGTGAATCTCTGGAAAATAGTTCAGTGGTGAGTTGTCTTATTTATCGTTTAGAGAAAGAATGCTGGTGAAAAAAGAATGACGATAGATATCGCTATGAGAAACAGGAGTATTGGAGTGAATTTTTGGACGGTATGATAACAGTCTGGAAAATACAGCTGAATGGCCAAAAAGAGATGGAAGAAACAGTGATTCCTGCTTCTGGAGCTTTCACAACTGCAACAGTTTAGATGAAAGGGTAAAGACGCGTTGCTGACCATGACTTTGTACTACTTGTACAAACACAGCGTCCGGGTTAATGATTCAAATAGGATTTTTGGCTTGCCAACACTCCTCGCATAAGGCACCGGTCAGCTCTCATTGAAGAAACAGTTCCTCACGAAACACAGAGCTGCTCCTATCTTCTTCGTCCGCGTTGCACCTCTGTTGCCAGTTTCCGTTTCATCGATATGCGATCATTCGCAGTTATGGTATCACATGATAACCAATAATTAAAATCGGATCTGATAATTGTTATCCGCAGCCATGTCAAAACACTTGCTTTGTGCAAATAGATGCATAGCATAGATTCATAATGCTGCCGTGTCAGTGACCTTCTCCGAGACCGAAAGCAATACTGTTTCAATATCCAATGTTTATTCTCGACTAGACATTTGGTACTGAAATATCCGGATTGAATGTTCAGGCTTGCGCTATTGAAGCAACGACACACCGATGGCATATCAGACGTGAAAGTTTCTCGATGTTGCAAATTTCTTCAACAACCTCTCCTAGGTGACTCTTGAAGTCAGCTCAATGATGCGAATCCTCATTTTACCTTCTTCTTTCCCTCCAATTCTCAGTTTGTTTCTTTAAAACACCGTACAGCTCGAATTTGATAGTAATGCGAAACAAAAGTCCCACGTGCAAGGATAGCATATTCATAGAATGACTGGGACAAAGTTTTGTTGCATGGTGCAGGAGAGGCACGTGCTTAGCGGCGTATAAAAGTGACAGTGATCCAATAGTTTGCG